CTGGGGTGGAACTCAGACTTAGCCACACTGAGTATCTGAGCAGGACATGCTGTTTCTCTAATCCCTACTTTCTTCCTCTAAATGAGAACTCGTGGGGCTGTTGGAAGGATCACAGATGAGATTTATGAAAAGCTCTTACAGAGAAATCCAGCAGTTCTAGGGCAGACCCTGGATTATCCCGGACAGACTTTAGAACTCCAAAGCAGCCTTCGCCTCGCATGGGATTCCTGGACATCTGAGAAACACACACACAATTGAGACAAACTGAGCCCAGGGAAGCTGGAGGTGGAGCAAGTCAAAAGGGAGGGAAGGATTCTTCATCTCTGATGACAAGTGCCTCAGGACAGCCCCACTGTCTCAGCTCAGAATTTGTCTCCACTGACAAAACACCCTGGGTGAGGCGGTGAGGCTGGGGAAGAGGGGAAGGGCGTATGCACTGGCTGAGTGCCCACCATATGCCCAAATCTGTGCCAGGTGCCAAAGATACGGACACACAAGGCACAGCTCTGCCTTTAAGGAATTCACCCATCACGGGGAGGAGAGGAAAAGGAAACATCATGAAAATGCAGTGTGATAAGTGCAATGAGAGTGTACATCAACTCTTCTGGGGAGGTGAAGTTTACGCACCCGCACTGAGCTTTACGGGTGAGGCGGGCAGAGCTGGGTATTTCAGCAAGAGCAGGAGGAGCAAAACAAAGGGGAGAAATTGCATCATGTGCAGAAAATTCAGAGCAGCTTGGGGTGAGCGAATGAGCTTCAGCGGTGGAAGGCAGAGGGGCTGTGGCAGAGCCCAGAGCCCAATGTGCGGTGAATGCCATGCTACTAACCTTGGATTTATCCAGAGGGGAGCCGTTGACAGGTTTAAAGCAAGGAGGGGACGGGAGCATGTTTCTGCTTTAGAAAGATCAACTGGCAGGTGAGAAGGAAGGACGAGAGATGGGAAATTCACAGGTCAATGGAACTTGAGGGGAAGTGAGAAGGAAGAGCAGGCAGCCCCAGCACCCTGCAGGAAGTAAGATGAAGGTTGGAAGGCAAGGAAAAGAGAGGGAGGAGTGAGCACTGGGCGCCTACTTCTGACTCAGTGAGGAGACCCCCCTCCCCCACCACCAAGAGGCAGCCCTTAGAGAGAGAGGATGCCTTCGGGTTGTGCTTTATGCCCATGGGACATCTAGGGGATGGTCCAGCGGGTGGCTGTAAATGGGGATCCAGAGCTTAAGAGAGGTCTGGGCTGCAGGGGGGAGCGTGGATGGGAGTGCTTCAGGGGGCTCTTCTTCTTCTTCTTCTTTTTAATGTTTATTAGAGAGAGAGAGAGAGAGAGAGAGAGAGAGAGAGCACGCGCATGAGCAGGGGAGCCACAGAGAGAGGAGACAGAAGATCTAAAGTGGGCTCTGCACTGACAGTAGAGACTGATGCGGGGCTTGAACTCATGAACCATGAGATCATGACCTGAGCCGAAGTCTGATGCTTAACTGACTGAGCCACCCAGACGCCCACACGGTGCTCTTCTGCCAGTTGATGGAGCTGAGAGCCAGGCAGGGCTGGATGCCCCCCAGGACCTGTCCTCTGAGCACAGTGGCCCACTTGGGCTTCACCTTCCATTGCACCCTCCCTTTTCCTACCCGACTGGCAATGCTGAAGAAAGGGAAGCCCCATCTGTCACACAAGGCCTCAAGTAGGTCTGAGCATAGCCAACGGTACACCTGGGCTGACCCAGTGAGCTGAGAAGGAGCAAGGACAGTCGGGAGGTGGAGGTGACACTGCTGGGGGTTGGGGGGAGAAGGATGGACGAGGGAGGAGTCGGAAGAAGTGCCGGGGTCAGGTCAGAGGTGGGTGAGGGAATGGCAAGGGAAAGAAGTGGTCATAGGAGGAAACCAGGAGGTCCCCTCCCTCATCTGGGCTCTAGAAATTTCGTACCCTGCTGCCACTGGAGTGGGGAGATGAGGCAGGGGAGGGATCTGTGTGGACACATACAGGCAGGTCTATGCTGGGGCCTGCCCCATCAGGCTAGCACTCACAACAAGAATCCTCAGTGTCTGGTTGACCCGGAGGCCCAGGCCCAGGCTCAGGGCTCCCACGGCAGAGATGCGGTTGTTGCTGCAACAGAAAGACATATGCATTTTGCTACCTTCCGAGCAGCTGTGTAGAGCCAGATGGTCCCAGGGTCCAACCTGGTGTTGCTGCTGCATCCACCTGCTTGGGCTTCATGTTCCAGCCTCCACTGATGCCCCAGGGACCCTGGGCAGGTCAGTATGTAAAAGCTGGATAACAACCCTGGTTCCCAGTGTTGAGGGAGATCACTCAGCAAGCACACCTGGAGCATCCCTCCCCTACTTTCCCCTCCCTTACCCCCCGCCCCCCACGACCCTGGGATCATGACCTGAGCCAAAATTGAGTTGGACACTCAAACAACTGAGCCACCCAGGCACCCCTCCTCCCCTTTTTAAGTGAAGATGTTTTACATATATGTTTTCACTAGCAGCCCCCACCTATCCGTCAGGAATTATGAGCTCCAAGGTACAAGTGCTGAACTTGAGGGGCACCCGGCTGGCTCAGTCGATAGAGCCCGTGACTCTTGATCTTGGGGTCATGAGTTTGAACTCTTGTAGGGTGTAGAGATTACTTAAATAATTTTTTTTTTCAAACTTAAAAAAAAAAAAAAAACAACCCAGTGCTAAACTTGAGTGAGAAGGAGGGAGCTGGGTGCTCTTGGATTGTGTCTCAAGCCCCATCGTGGGTAAACTGTGGTAGGCTTGGGAGTTGCTAAGGTGGTAAACAGTAGCAGGATCATGGAGTCCCTGGTCCCTCAGGTGGCTATGGATCTGGAGACTGTGACACAGGGCCACCCTGTGTGCCTCACCTCATGTTGAGCTCTTCCAACACATTGTTGGTCTTAAGTGCCTCACCCACTGCAGATGCTCCAGGATCTCCAAAGCCATTGTATGAGATGTCCAGGACTCTCAGGAAGATGTTTGCCTAGAATGCAAAAGAGTGAAGCCAGGAGACCACCTGTGAAGTTGGGAAAGCCAGGGGTCACCGCCTCAGAGCCCGGGAGGCCCAGGGTGCAAAAAAGCACGGGCTGAGAGCAGAAGGTCAGAGGTTCCTGGTAAGAGTCTTGTGGCTTGGATGACGGTGACCGGGAGAACCAAATGACTGGAAGCACGGCACCAAGGGTGGTTGTGGGTGTGGATGATCCTCAGAGACTGAGAGGCCCACCGCTCAGCAGCAGACCCCAGGGACACAGTGGTCTGGTTCCATGGCTGCTGGGGGCGGGGGTGGGGGGTGGCGAGGCTCAAGGGCAGGTCCTCTGAGGCACAGAGCAGAATGACAGAGGGACTCCGGTGAAGGGCTTTGGGGGGGCTGTGATGGGGAGAAGGGCAGGAGCTTGTGGGTGCACTGGGAGGACAGAGCCTGACCCACCACCCTGTGGGGCAGGATCCCCAGGTCAGCCCCTGAGGAGGGGGGCAAGGCAGCTGCTGCTGTTCCCTGAGGAGGGCCCCACAAAGCTAGCCAGCACCAGGGGCATCCTGGCAGGGGCTAGGAGCCACACATTCCTGAGGCTTATGAACCACAACATCGAAGGAAGCAGGTGGGATGTTTAAGACTATGTGCTGGGACGCAGGGTGCAGGGCTGTCATCTCAGGGAAGCATCTGCATGTGCCCATAGCAGGCATGTGTCACCAGACTGCACGATGTCCCCCACCAGCCATATGTCTGTAATAAATGGAGAAGGTGTGCAACATTGAACTGCAGACCCTTGAGTAAGTGACGTGAGAGTGAGCACGGTATTTTGGAGTCACGAAATGGGGCTGGGACAATTAAAATCACCAAACAAAATATTCTTTAAGCTCTGCTTGAAGGATCCAAGGGTCATTTCTGAAGAGCTGCAAAGATAGGAAGATGGCACCTGGGAGACTGTCCCCACAGGCCAGGCCAGAGGGCAGATGGGTGACAGAGGTGTTCATACCTCCAGTGCCCTGGCAAAGGCTACAGCTCCTGGTCCTCGAAGGTGATTCCAGTTTATATTAAGCTCGGTGAGTCCAGTATTTTCTGCCAGGGCTGGTCCAAGCATCTCCCCTTCAGAAACACCAAGACAGGCCTTATTCACTCTGTTCTTTCCCTCAAAAAATAATACTGATGACCGCTGTGTGCCAGGGTCTCTGCTTGGCACAACAGTCACCAAGTTGAACCCTATATGGGCCTGCTCTGTCCTAAAAGAATTCACATTTAATGGGGGAGAAGCAGTTGACCCTTGAATAGCACAGGGGTTAGGGGTGCCAGCCCCTGTGCAGCCAAAAATCTGCCTATAACTTTGACCGCCCCCCCAAACCTCAACTACTAACAGCCTACTGCTATTGGATTTTAGAAAGAAGACTTTATCGAGAATGTAAAGTGTTGATTAACACATATTTTGTATGTTATACATATTATATGCTGTATTCTTACAATAAAGTAACCTCAAGAAAATATTATTATTATGTTTAAAAATTTGGTTAATGTTTGTTTATTTATTTATTTATTAAAAAAATTTTTTTTCAACGTTTATTTATTTTTGGGACAGAGAGAGACAGAGCATGAACGGGGGAGGGGCAGAGAGAGAGGGAGACACAGAATCGGAAACAGGCTCCAGGCTCCGAGCCATCAGCCCAGAGCCTGACGCGGGGCTCGAACTCACGGACCGCGAGATCGTGACCTGGCTGAAGTCGGACGCTTAACCGACTGCGCCACCCAGGCGCCCCTAATGTTTATTTATTTTTTAGAGAGAGAGACAGAGCGTGAGCAGTGGAAGGACAGAGAGAGAGAGGGGGAGACACAGAATCAGAAGCAGGCTCCAGGCTCTGAGCTGGCAACAGAGGGCCCAACGCGGGGCTTAAACTCACAAACTGAGAGATCATGACCTGAGCTGAAGTCAGACGCTTAACCGACTGAGCCACCCAGGCACCCCAATATTATTATTATTTTTAAACGTTTGTTTATTTTTGAGAGACACAGAGAGAGATCGGGGGAGGGGCAGAGAGAGAGGGAGACACAGAATCGGAAGCAGGCTCCAGGCTCTGAACGGTCAGCACCGAGCCCCACATGGGGCTTGAACTCGCAAACGGTGAGATCATGTGCCAAAGTCAGATGCTCAACCGACTGAGCCACCCAGGCGCCCCACCTGAAGAAAATATTAAGAAAATTATGTGGGGCACCTGGGTGGCTCAGTAGGTCGAACATCCCACTCTTGCTTTTGGCTCAGGTCATGATCTCATGGTTTGTGAGATCAAGCCCAGTGTCGGGCTCTGTGCTGACAGTATGGAGCCTGCTTGGGATTCTCTCTCTCCCCACTCTCTGCCCCTCCCCCGCTTATGCACGTGCTTGCTCTCTCTCTCTCTCAAAATAAATAAATAAAACTTAAAAAAAGAAGGAAAATCATAAGAGGAAATACACTTATAATACTAGACTGTATTTATAAAAAAAAAAAATTGTGTATAGGTGGACCCACGCAGTCAAACCCACATTGTCCAAATGTAAATACAACTTAATGGGATGTGTGGGACTACTACAAATAGTAGTACAACTACAAATACAACTACAAATGGGGATGTGTGGGAACAGCGTGGGGACTTACTCCCTTTTGAGGAGGGTCAGGAAAGTGAGGAAAAAGGAGATAATCTTGAAGACTGAGGGACCCACCAGGTGTGTGTGCATGCACAGTGGAGAACAGACATGGGAAAGAGCAAATGTGTAGAGGCATGTGGGAGCATAGAGCACCTGAGGAAATTCCCACAGGCCTGGTGGGTGGGGGGAAGCCAGTGAAATGAGGTAGCAATGATGGACACTGGAAAGATACTGAGAGGCCATCAATGCTGGACCAAGACTTTTGGGCACAAACCGATTAGTAGGCAGGGAGGGCTTTAAGAAATGACAAGGCC